TAGATTGATTTAAATTTCATTCTAATAATTGTTGAAAATAATTTTAAATAAATTTTATGAAATAAAATAAATGTAATCTCATGTAAGTTAACATATATCGTGCCATTTGTTTTCGTTCCAAAGATATTTCTGCAATACGTAGTATATTTATTAATTCAAGCTAATTCTATAAGAAGTATCATTAAGATGTAAGTTATGATTTAAATCAAAACACTGCTTCAGTTATGATTATTTAAGTAATTTGGATTTTCTTAATTGAAATTTAATCTTATTTTTCCATTATCTGTTCAATTTTTGAACTAGATGTTTCTTTGAAATCAGAATAAGAATTTAAATCTGTACTGTGGTTCAAATACAAGTGATACATGAAGTTGAGAAAGAAAATGGATTGAACAAGGATAACATTTTGAAGAATATTCATTTCAAATAACTTCATGAAATTAGTATTCCTTAAATGTGGATTTCTATTTGATTTTAAAAGACACCTATTTATATAGAATTTTTCAAAAGTACATAAAGTGGAGCAAATTCATAATATATGAAGTTTATGCTTGATCATCGTATTTTCATCTAAAACAGATTTTGAAATCATCTAACCTGAAAATCTACTATACATCTTTGTTGGCAATATATAATGTAGAATCCAAACTCAAATTTTGTTCATAAATTTTAAAAGAACTACCCATGGATATTAATCAATTTTATAATTTTAAGGTTAATGATATAGGATAATTCTTAAAATTTATAAATCATTTTAGACTTACATTACAATTTTCTCTATGTGTCATGTTATATGTCATCCTATTTTTCCATATTCAGATATACATACTTACAAAAACACTTATGCACAAACACAACTATCAACAATCTGATCTTTCAAATTCAAAAATGTGAGATTTCCTATCTACTAGAAATCTAAAACTTGTAAATATTTTTGGATATTTAAAATAAAAAAATTTCACAAAAAGTTAATTTTTGTCAAATTCAAGTTGATATTCACTAGATTTCAATATTAATGAAAAAATTATATATATTCAAGTTTTATGAACGAATTAAATAATTAAGAACTTATTTTATAGCATTCAAATTGTGATTATTTTGTATAAATATTCCTGAAAATTTGACAGCCATTTTAGCAAATTACTTGTAAATACTTATGAGATAAAATGTTATTTTTCAGTGAGATTTCAAAACAAAACGGTATAAAGAGTTTTGATTATGAAACTTTGTGGTAAGATAAATCAGTTTATGATTTTTTTCTATGATTTGGATCATAAAATTAAGCTTAAATAATAATTATTATTCTTTATATCATGATAATGAGTTTCAAGTTAAAATAAACAGTTTCAGAAGTATCAGATAATTTAATAATTTATAGAAAAATGATTTTGGTTTGTAAGATAACTTATTATATATCAGAGAGTAGAAATATTTTCTTATGAGAAGTTTCTCATCAAATAAATAAATCATGAATCTATGTCCTAAGAATTTTCTCAAAAAAAACTATAAGTCCAATTCTAAAACAACATGAATCATATTGAATAATAAAGGACACAAATTTTTATTTTTTTCATAGCAAATTATGACAAAAATCAACAAAAAAATCATATATGATTTGATCAAACATGAAACACCTAAATTTCATAATATTTCCTTGTATTTAATTATTATCAAAAATCCTAAGAAAGATTTGACTTTCTTTTATTCATGTCATAATCTTTATAGTTTTCATTTCTATTAAGTTTTTTGGAAATAGATAAATAGAAAATGTAAGCTTTTTATTAACAGTTTCTCATAAAAAATTATAAATTTATCTTATATGAAAATAATCAAATGTCTTTACATGTTAAAAATGTTTGAAATATATTTAAAAAAGGGGAGGTCTAGTTATCCCTCACTTAGGGCTAATTAGTCCTCACGCAATTCTCTGATTGGTACTCATCCGAGTAACCTATAACCCTGCATTGACCAATGAAAAAAGAGTGGAGTAGAGTGAGGGCTAATTAGCCCTAAGTGAGGGAGAACTAACCGCTACCTTACAAAAATTTCTTGCAAAAATAATTATCAAAAGTTTTAACAACAACTAAAGTTATTTGATGAACAATATACTTTGATCATTATATTCATGATCATCATGAATATATGGAAAAAACACAAATATATATAGCAAATATATTCAAATTTAGAGCAATTTTGCATGATTAAAGAATGAAAAAACTGATATTAATGATACTTATATTTGAATACTGATTAAGGCTTGATAAAAGAAGAAATCACACTACTTTGAAGTAAAATGCAAGTAATTTTAATGTACATCAATGCTCTTAATTTAAGAATCAATGAATCTTTTTCATTGATGCAAATCAAAATACCAAAAAAATGAGATCATTTTCATGAATTCATTAGATAGAAAAAAAAGTTAGGAAAAAACCTCTATCACTAGTCATTTGTTGATTATAACTATAAGCTTGCTGAAGAAAGTCCAATTTCTCACATAGGACTTGAACTCTAACGTGATGGATCTGAGTAAAATGAAACAATGTCATGTATTCTTTGATCTAACAAGATTAATAATATATAATGTAATAAACAATTGCAATTTCTTATGTAAGTTCAATTGGTGATTTGGAAACATAGTACAGACACACCGTCATGTAATTTTCGGAGACAAGTAGATTGTATGGAGAATATCATCGAAAAAAATGAGATGAAAAGAAGATAGTATGAAAGCAAGTAGTTACTACAATACTCATGGAAAGAAAAAAAGTACAAGATATACCCATAGTCATGATTATAGCGACAAGACTTTCTTTGGTACCAAAAAGGACATGGACAGGAGAGCGGTGGGAGCAGGAGTTGAAGTAGGAAGAGCACCTATTGCAAGGTAAAAATTCTGCTGATGCGTTTGCATATCAATTTATTTTCGGTATCAGCCCTGCACAAATTGGCAACATTTTCTATGTATGTGCAGTACTGACGCTAGAGTACAATGCATCGAATCCTTTTGCAAAGATTGTCGGTAAGTTTGACTTTAAGGCTCGAGAGAAGGGGGTTTGATTCGTCTAAATGCCAAGATGGAGTTAGATTCAATAATAAAACTCGTTACATGAAGATATGAATATGAAATCTAGACTAAGGTGGATCTCAAAGTAGACTTGTAGATTTACCCCGTGTATTTGAGTTTCAATGGAAAGACATTTTTTTAATCCTATCACATTCCAGTATTGACTTATTCATCGTTGTGAAAAAGTAATTACTACCTTTTCGAGCAAAGTACTTAGTGTTAGTAATAAACCGGTTATGTGACATAAGTCAGTAATGATCAATTTTGCAAAATCAAAGACACGTAAATGAGAATTTGTAATTAATTTATTGTAAAAATTTAATCATGTTTAAAATTCCATTGATATTGTGAATATTTATTTTCACAGTATCAAAAATTTAAAAAAATCTTTAAATTTGAGTCTTATTTTTTGACATGAATGTTGACTATTTTTCACAAAGCCACACTTGTCATGATCTGATTTATTACATATCTTTCCTATAAAAATTATTTTTTTAAAGTATATCACATTGTTATATGATATCTATGTTGATATTTTCTTTTATAACATGCAGAAACTCTTATGAAATATAAATAGCGAGCATGGATCTGCAAACAAGTAATTACATGGATTATATAATATTGAACTACTTTTATAACGATGGAACTATTATGATGCTTTCAATTTTGAATAGATAATTTCTTGAATTTCATCTACTTTTAAAGTAGATATATTTTGAGTTTGATTTGTTTCAAGGCCAAAATTTTTATTTTGAAGTTATCACATTAATTTTATAATACATATTTTATCCAATAAAAAAATAGATAAAAAGTGCATTTAGAGCACAAAGCATTTAAGTTTTTGAAATATTGCATTCATTGATTTATTAATTTTTTTAGAATATGAGAAACTTGATATTCTCTAACATGATGGTACACATTGGTTTATTTTCAGATTAGATTACGATAAAAAGACGTATGTTGATAATGTTCATAAAATAAAAAATTCAAAATTGTATATGTAATGTTTTTAATCAAGTTCCTAAGATGAATTCTATTTTAGAGTATTGAATTCAATCTTAACATCTAATTTTGAGAAGATTTAGAAACATTTGTTATCAGTTTTATATATTTATATTTCTTATTAAAAAATGTTTGCAGCCTTTCTGGCTTTGAACAACTGATATGTAAAATTTTGGAAATTTAAATTGATATGTTATATTAAGGAATGTGAGATAATGAGGTTACAAAATTTGAGCTTTAATTTTTCTTAACACTTAAGTCATTTTGAATTTGATTTCATTTTGAAATGATTATCAATCATCAATCAGATGCACATATTATGGATTGATTTTGATTTAGTTTTATAATTAATCTCATGAAATTTATGATTTAAAACTATATATTAAATGTGCAAATTTAAAAATATTTTGAATCTTTTTTTAACATCAAATTTGAAAGATTCAGACTGTTAAATAAGGCTTTGAATCCATATTCCTTATGCGAAATGCATAATTACATATCAAATAGGTTTTGGCCCATTTAAGTCTTTCCTTGATCAGGTAACCATCAGCAGAGTGTATTGTGGATCTATGAGAGTGAAACAATTCTTGAAACTTTATCATACTTTTCTATCTATGATAAATTTTTGTAGTTTACATGACCGAAAAAAAATTTTTCTGCTTTGAGGTAAGACAACACGGTTACATATGACAATCGAGACATCTAAAATGAAATTTATTAGAATCTATAATGAAATTTATTAAAATTGTTCAATGATGCTATGTAATTATAAGGCTCTACATTCAACACATAGTTTTTGAAGACTGTTCTGATCATCATTTATATTTTAGGCAGTTTCAATATTTCCTAGCTTTGATATTTAGACATTAAAAAATCAAATGATATTCACTATGTTTTGACTTCCATAAACATATCGTATGCGCTTTCACTTGATGTGGCTACTATAAGCATTTCCATCGTAAAATTGAGTGGAAGTGATATCAAGTTTCCGAAACTTTTTAAGACATGAACGATTCATAAAAAAAAGGTGGTAGAAAATTTTTCGGTTGGAGTTTCGAAAACATTGTGTCGAGCATATTAGAGCATTACCGAACACTGTATTTACACATTCTAGCTTTTGCAAGCCGTAATTAGTGTAGATGAGTCAAAAGAGAGCAATGTGTAGTGTCGCCCGTGAATGAGCTGCAAGGATATCTAGACCAAGGACCCGGCAAATGGAACCATTTGGAGAAAGTAGTGTGATTCATGCCACATGCTTTCCACGCCAGAGTTCAGAGAGTAAAGGGTCGCATTTCGACAGCGTAAAGTACTACGGTCAAAGCTCGAGAGTCATCATTTATTCCAAACTGTAAAGTTCGAGAATCATTTTCGAGATGAAAAGTCGTGAGTTGCGGTGAGTGATGATGGCTGCATTGTACTGATCCATGTGTTGTATGAGACATGATGGATGAGTACAAACCGAAATCTGAATCCCAGAATAGGCAGACGAAACAAAAAGCATTTGGACGAGATCAGCTGGAACGGGGTCAAAGATGCATTCCTTTGTAAACAGACGTCAGATGCTGGGAAGTGTATGGATCCGAACTAACGGAAAGGTCGATCCATCTGAACAGCAACAACTAGAAAGTTCTACATGTACATTCACTTTGATAGATCGATGGAGAAGGGCACCAGAACGGGGCTATCATGACAACCAAGAAAGAAAAGCTTGAGAGAGAGAGCAAGGAAGACCAGGAAGTCCTGCCTTGAGTATGCCAAGCGAATGGGGTGGAGTGTCATTGACAAACACGGTGAGAAAGAGGAAGAGAGAGAGGGAGGGAGGGAGAAATTTGTCTGTCGAACGACGTACGAGCAGTACGGGCGGTGGAGTGGAGTGGAGAGGAGTGGGAATTGGAGTCCGCAGCAAAATGGACTGGGTTGGCTCTTGGGTGAATGAACACAGGCTTAAAACAACCAGAAGATTCCGTAGGTACAGACTCGAAAGACTCACTCACTAAGCCATGATGACAAAAGAGAAAAGAAAAAGAAATGGCATCTGAGAACAAGCAGCGCAGAATATGCGAAAGCGAAGCTGTTCTGTTTTTGACCACGCAGAGTACAGGGAGGAGGAGGAGGAGGAGGCGGACAATTTTGGCGAAAGCTGCATCAGAGCGCGGGTTGACGATGAGGTCGATCTGGTGTCGATCGCGCGCGCGCACCGATTGGCAGCATTCGGGCTCGCAGAGGGGAGGGCAGTGCATAAAACAAACGCTCTCATGCTTCCAAGCCGGGTCGACAGTTCGGAAAGCACAAGGGGCTCGGTGAATCCACGGAGCTTTGATGACGGATGAATGTGCGAGGGACAAGACAGCCTTGACGATGGTGGGAGGAGGAGGTGGTGTGTCGTTGAGGAACTGGTAGTGATGCGTTGAAAGGTGGCAGTGGTCCGCAGAAAGAGGTTTGGTGTTCGATGTGCACAGTACCGGCTGAGCGGCTGGAACTAAATGGACACAGCTTTCAAATGCCTTCGGAACAGGAAGAACATCTAAAGGCTATCCATTTGCGAGATCCGCAATGATGACAAACGAAAAGGGAAGGCAAGACAAGGCGCGCTCGCAACAGGCCAAAGATGGGGTGGTGGGACTCGGAGAGAAAAGCGTTGGAACAGGCGCTCGCACATTATTTGCGAAAAGAGGTTCAGCGTTCGATATTACTTACCATGATCTGTGATCTGGCTGCGAGTGGCTTCATGCGAAATTGGTAAACAAGTGGAAGGTTCCAAACGGTACTCTCGCCCCAAAGGCGAAAGGGCATGATGACAAAAGAGGGAGACCAGGCAGCTTTGAACATGACAAAGTGGAGGAGGTGATGTCATTGACAAACTGGTAACGTTTTGGGCGCATGGGGGCCACACCGGGGCGACTATTCTAGCTGCTATGGTGGTGGGGGATTGGCACGGCGTATGGATGGATCAGGTGGAAGTCTTTGGGTGAGAGAATCCAGTGCTTGGACTGAAGCCCAACTTGGGAGCTCGGAAGAGCGAGGGCCGAAAAGCAGGAGTACTGGAAGGGAAGGGGAGGGAAGAGCAGAGCAGGGCAGCGAAGCGAAGGGAATGTGTGATCATTGGACGGTGGTGGAGCCTGTTGCCAAATGCAGCGGAGGGTTTCGAGACTTTTTGTGCGGGGACACGGTCATTGGTTGGTTGGCTGGCTCGCGCACTTTCTTGAGGCTGGCTGGATTTAAAGAAAGCTCCAGCTCCAGCGACAAGACAACACGGAAATAAAAGTGGGGAGTTGTAAGTGTGGGCAATGGGCAGTGCGCAATGGGCGAGGGGCGAGGGGCGAGGGGGGGGGATGGGGATGCGGGATGGGGGATGGAGAAGGTGAGATTCTTGCCAGACCATTTGGCAGTCGCTGCAACCAACAAAACTGCCGGTTGTTTTGCCAGATGGCAAGGGCATGTCAAGCCGCAGTACAGGGAGCCCCCCAGAATGGGCTCTGCGCGGCCAGAACAAGGAAGCAAAAGCAGAGCACGGCTGCTTTTCGGTGAGTGATGGATGGGATAGATAGAATTACACAGCTACTATTAGGCAGTTAGCTGGCTGTCTCAGACCCCAAGTCACATTATACAACTCGGCCTCGCCATGATCGTCGCTCACCATTACACCACCACAACGACTTTCCGCTCGCCCCTCCCGTAATTAAACATCCTTCCGCTTACTCCTCTTCCCCGAGCCCTGACTTTTCTATGACTGCCATGAGCTACACATCCTCCGGGATAGAACTGCCAGACTTGACAGACAAAACATGACGAGAACTTCTGAACATGCTGGCACGGTCAGCATTCGCCGGGAGTGTACCTCCAGCGTCTCATCTCATGGGCCGGGGAGGTGAACAAAGTCCAATTGTACGTGTTCAGACTCGCATTGAGACGGGTGTACAGTACATTCGCTGTGCGTAATATGTGTGTTCGCCCGTCATTAATGAGCCGAAGGGCATTTCTCTGCAACTACCCAGGAGCAGACCGTGGGCCGTGAGAATGAAGCTAGTACCTTTGGCAGGGGAAAAACACCGGAATCCATGTGTACACTGCATGGTACAGTACCGACTGACTCCGTCTTTCCCTTTCCCTACCAGTTCACTGCTCGGCCCGCATCGTCAATCATACCTCTCACTCACTCGCTCGCTCGCTCGCAGGGCCTGACTTTCACCTCATATTTTGAAAGAAACGCAACGGGACTTAATTCATTGTACGAGTCGAGTCCACCCCACCCGCGCCCCACCCCCTCCCTCAACTCCCCCTGGTCGCGCATTTGACTCCCGCATCGATCGTTCATTCACTTGTACCAAAGAAAAGGCCGCAGAAAACAAAAGATATGCTGCACATCGAATCAGCAGCGGGCCGGGAGAAGGCGCACTCCAATCCACTCGAGGTGTTTTCAGCTACCAAAAAGCTGAAAACAGTCGCGCCCCTTAATCTATCCCTTTCCGGCCATCTCATCCGTGCCCTTAAAGCTTTGCCAGGACCTAATTCATTCATTCAACCTTACTCTGTACTCCTAGAGTATTATTGGCCCACCGCTCCGCAGCTGCAGCAGCTGCTGCTTCTGCTTCTGCTGCTGCGTCTTTGAATGAATCCTTGGCACAAATTTGACAACTGTTACTCATGACATATTTCAAATCAAACAAAATCGTGCGAGCCCCACTCAAGACTGGTACCAGAAAAGCAGCAGAGGCTCGGTCACGGTCTCTTCTCGGCTCGGGGTTCTCATTTACCTTGCTTCTACGGCAAGTTCCCCCCGGCTGCGGGGCGACGAGGGATTCCAGTCCGATACAATTCGATTCAGGTTTATTACTATTCGATGGGCCGCGAGGAGTCGGCACCAGCGATAGACTGGAATCCATTAAGCCAGCGAGCCAGCCAGACAGCAGACGCCCAGAGGCCACCAGCAGCAGCAGCAGTTCTCGCACTCATGAGCTTTATCGACTCGCCCTGACTCCCTGACTCACTTCCACGCTACCGTAACCCTCTGACTCTCTGTCCTGACGAGTTCGAACCAACCGCGTCGTGCCACCCGTGGACCCTCCAAACTAGCGACGAACGAGCCAGTCCATCACACGTTTGACCCGTCCACCAGCGGCTGCAGGTTCGAACCGACTCCAGGTTAACCAGTCTTGGAGGCGGGTCGGGTCGGGTCGCGCACCTGTTTACCTGTTGTGAACTGGACGAGGAAGCCTGGACGCAACCGGACAACGTTCTGCCCGCGGTCGCTTGCGGCCAGTGCTAGTTGTAGTTCGTTGCCGATAATCTGACGACCGGCCCTGACCTCACTCCCGGTCCTCGTGAACCTTGTTCGCTTGAGTCGCACCCCACCGCACCCCACCCCACGCCATCCAGCCCCATCCCGATCGCGATCTCTGGGCCAGGCCTGGTCATGGCGAGGGCCAGCTACATTTGGCAGAGCGTTGCGTGAGGCCGGGTATCTTTTGCGGGGCTCGTTTATAGGTCTGCTAAAATTGGCCACGTTTCGCCAGAGGCTGAGTCAAGCGAATAAATATCCCGACATCGGACTCATAATGTGCTTCGAGAGCGTGTGAGTCTGTCTTTAGTGAAATCTACTACGAACCTAGACGGCGGCTCGGCTAGATTTGGGGCTAAGATTCTTCAGTAGCTGGCACGCTTTCTGACTCTTCAGTGCAGCGTTTAAATATCGCGGGCCATAAAATATTCATTCGACGACAAGCCCCGGGAAGCGGAAATCCCATCCTCTGGATTTGGGCCTATAACCGGTAGGTTGCGAAGCTCCACTGTAGGGCGCGATGCGTGGCTCCGGGAGTATTGACTTGGGTGCAGCATGTGCGAGCCCTCAGATTCGGAGTCGCAGCTACATTCAGGGATCATTCTATTCCAGCTATTCCAGCCACCACCAAAAAATGTCAACAACTCATGGCTGCGAATCTTACCAGCTCGACGCTCTGGACAGGATAGTACCTTCTTCCCTCCGCCCACGCCCTCGAAAGTATTCGAGGTTTGGCCGCGCTCCATTGGCCGTAGAAAAGAGCTTTTCCTGTTCCCGTGGCGCTTCCCTATAAGTGGCAGGCGGTCCTTCGTGACGAGGGCCTTGTTCCAGACATAAGGATCGCGGGCCCCAAACTTGGCGGCTGAGGTTTCGGCCCTTGTCGTAGTCATGACTTTCACGAATGGCGTGCCCTGTCTCGTGAGAAACGGGCCGCTCGCCTTCTCCCTGCACCCGCCCCATATTCGGCCCTGCGCCTTCAAACTTAGATGGTCGCCGGACGCTGTTCGCGTGAACATGTCCTAGACTTGACTGCCCCTCGCTAAATCTGGCGTTCCTTCGGGCTCGGACCTTCCCCCTAAAGTGGCGCAATAAACTCTTGCGTCCACATGCGACGCAACAAAACCTTCCCACTTTATTCTTCGAGCTCTTCCCACTTATACCCACTGACTTCCTCCTCTCGAGTACGAGACAAAGTCCTTCGCTACAAACAAACGCTCGCTCGCCTTCCACATCCTCGCCACAACTCATCTTCGCTCAGAATTCGTTCGCCTACAAACCAATCCGCATATTCGCCTTCGCAATAGAACGAACGCCGTGTGTTGCTCTTGTCACACTCTCCTGCACACCACCGCCTCGTAATTAAAGATCGCACTGTGACAGACGATGAACGACTCGGTCCTATACAACTTCCTCATGTATTTGTTGCCACCAGCTCTCGGATTATCATTCATGGCTCCCCTCTTCCCTTCAATCCCTCCTTCTTCGCTGGGCTTCTATTTCCCATATCTCTCTCTCCCTCTCGGTCTCTGTATGTGCATGTCGAGGCAACAGTGTTCGTATCAGGAAGCTGGTATATCCGAACTGTGCTGGCGATCGCCTATACATGGACATTGGGAAGCTTGATGCCAAATTCACTGAAAGAATCATTGACAACAACCGGATTTGATTCCGAACAACAACCAAGTGTCATGGAGCACCGGTGATAGTTTCATCAAGTGAATAAAATTCATCCTTATGATACAACCACCTCCCCGTGGGCTACTAGTGTTATAATCTGAAGATCTCATCAAGTTGTGGCCCGCTAGAACTAGCGATTTCTATGTCTATCGATCTATGACTATCGGGTGCAATGATCCATATACACAGAGCAAAATAGCATGCTTCGAGGTGAAGATGATTGAATAGTACAATTTGTAGTCTACAGGCCATAAGTCCCTTCCCTTCTCATACTGCGCTTGCCTCGTTAGAGCGTCAACCACATGCAGCTCTATAAGAGCAATGACGAATATGTTTAGAAAAACACTTCGCTAGGAATGGATACGAAGCAATTATGTGCCAATCTTTCAACCTCTATCTACCGTGCCTTTTGGTCGGATGTCAACTAGAAAGACAGCGAGTGTAAATTCTTTCAAATTGTCTTTATTCTTCATGTTCTAACATCACGCAAATTTCTTGACAATTGACGAAGAGTATTAATTTTTCTCATCGAATTATGTATAATCAAGCTAAGTTTTCTTTTCCGATCTTTGTTGCTTCTAGGAGAGTTGACATCTTGTATCGAAGAAAGTGATTCATAAGGATTTGAATAATCTGATGATTTGAATAACTCCATTAGTTCTTCAAGCATTGAAATCTTTATATCTAACAACTCATTTTTTATTCATGAACATATTTCATGCTGAATGTCATAAAGTTATAAGCTACTAGTATATCATGTCAAATCATTTTTTCTTTAAAGATGTCATGGATGTATACCAATGAAATAAAAGAAATTCTCTTATGCTTATGCTAACATCATAACTAAACATAACACATGATCTCATGTGTAATGAGAAAAAACTCTTCATGCAACATGTGTTAACTTTCATGAGAAAAAACAAAAATAATCAAATGATTTAGTAAGAGTAATTGAATATAGACACTCTCAATCTTATGTAAAATTTATCCTGGCTATAATGAAAAATAAAATTTACTCAACTATTTTTCAAACCTTCAATTTCAAAAATCCAGTAGTTTACATTTATTTTCCATTCAGTCATGTGTTTTTCATGTGTGTGGAAGCTATTCGTAGTCTCATACGACATCTCTCATATCACCTTTGAGATGTTTTAAAACGAAAATATTGATAGCATTTTTTGATCTCATTGCAATATTATATATGATACAATCCATATCTTATTAAAATATCAATCTTCTGTTGATCAATTTAAGCTATGTTTACTTCTGGATATGAAGAATTTTAATCAAATCTGGTGAAGTAACATGTGCAATT